CCCGTCCACCTTCTGACGGTGTCTGCCTCCGCGCACAAAAAATGAGATGGGCATCGCTGCCTACGCCGACGGCCAGAGGCCCGCGCATCTACATTTTTTCGCCTGACCCCATCAGTGCCGACCCAACTACACCACCACGCGCATGCCTCGCGGCGGATATGCGCAGCAGCAAGAAGGTTTCGGTCATCCCTTGAGGGTGACGATATTTAACTTCAATGGCGCATTTGTGTTGTATTTATCCCTCGAAAAGGTGTGTCAAGGATCTATCAACTTCTAGAGGCGCCTCTCTGCCCCGCACAAGTCTTGTGCAGAGCATGGTGGGAAGAAGGTTCGAAACGTTTGCGGCATCCCTACAAGTGGCAATAACGACACTTGGGGCCAATTCTGAAAGTCTTGCGTGGTGGCTGGTAGAGTCAGTTGGACAGGAATAATTTGTTGACACACCTCTCTCCCTCTCCAACCAACTATCGCCTGTTTGGTCGCAATTGAACACTTACCTCTCGTCAGACGCCTTGGCATGAGCGGAGGGGGATTTGTGCGAGTCCTGTGGACGACGATAATCTCGCCGTTCGGAAAGGTCCGATTCTTTTCGGGCTACGCCGGCGTCATCCTCACCAGGTACGGCGGAAGTTAGTGTTGTCTGAAACGTCGATAGTATGGGGAAGTCGATTTCACGCTATGTTGCGAAGAAGAATCGGAGACACTAGGTATGTCCACGACAACAATGACGAGTGCTTGCTAAAGGCGTACTAGATATTACACAAGGTGTCCGTGCGGGACGTGGGTGTCAAGCCTCCCGCGGGTGACGCAAAACCACGTGTCATATTACGCTCGCATTTCGTGCAAGCTACAGCGCACGTACGTTGGAGCCAGCTCGAGCGGACAGCAACTTGGCAGCGAACAAAAAATGTATATTTGTACCGCAAATGAGCCTTGCGATGGCAGAATTCCAAGGAGAACCGAATTTGTTGGAATCCGAAAAAACACCACAAACACAACATGTTCAACACTGCGCGTGTGTGCGCTCAGACTTGTCTAAGGCAGCTGCGCTTTTCGCTGGGCCCGCTGCGAAGTGCAGACGAGCAATGGTGCTGTTGACCATCGCGACGACACGCAGAGACAGCGATGTAGAATCATCGAATGAATGAATGGACGTGGAGGTGAAGAGCATTGGACATATTTTTTTTACACGCATATTTCTCGGTACTTCGGCTGCAAGCTGCAAACTCCCGGGCGGCAACAGATGTTCAGCCCGATATTCCACAACTAGAGGCAATGGTACAAGCTTTGCAGAAGCACGACAAGTAGGGATCGTATGCGAAAAGTTATATGCTCTGTGATCAGGTTTTGCCGGCTGTCGATCAGTGGTAGCGAGAGATGTGGTCGAATTGTATGCATGCGGGCCATTTTTCCCTACTATCGTTTAGATTGGTTCAAGTGTTGACCCACCAGGCGTTGTCGTCGCGGAACACGTTCCCGGGGTATAGAGCCAGTTTTCGCGACTTTGACCGGCAAACACACGCGTCACAGAGGCCTAGCGAGCTCCGGGTATGAACGATAAGGTGCCGACGAGCCTCGTGCGTGCCCCTGAAAAAGAAGCCCGAGAAAAGACTGGCAGCCGGCAGAAAAAAAAGAAATGCTAATGCACAAGAAATGACCAAATCTTGTACATACGCACATACCATGTGTAGATTAGAGTCCCGAGCATGTTGTTTTTTGATTGGAGGGGGGGGGGGGGGGGGGGGG